ATCTTTTAGTTTAAAAAGGGGAATGCTATTGAAAAGATCCTGGAAATCAAAAGTCGCAATCGGGTTAATTTTATTATCTTTAATATATTCTAAACTCGAGTGATTATTAGTGATAATTCAAGAAAAAGTTTCTTTAATGATATTGTTAATAATTAATGTTTAAGTAGGTTGAGAAAATGGAAACTATTATGAACATATTTTTGCGGCATCGTGCTTGAAATTTTTAAAAGGAAAATAAAGACAATTAAAGTATAGACATTTTAGTTTCGTTTCGAATTTTTCTTCTTTTTAGGATTATAAAACTTTTTTTTTAAATCGTATGGTAGACTTGGAACTATTCAAAAGATTTAAATATTTAATTAAAAGTTTGTATATTTAAATTAAAAATTCTTATCTTTAATTCTTGTTTGTTCATTTTATACACATAAGTCCGAAGGTGGTTGGAACCCATCAAGTAAACTAGAAAAAGAATTACCTTTGACCTTTGGTAATCCTAATTATTAGTATCAGATAATCATGTATTATTACAATTTTAATGGTTCGATAGGGAAACGTTAAATCTTTTATTTTAAATTACAAAATATTACGATAAAATTGTAAGTTACTTTATTTTTCTTTAAACCCATAGAAATTAGTGCATACATTAACTTGAGCAATAAAATCAAATGTAAAAGCATACTTCCCCTTAATAAAAACATTTTTCATCGAATTTAGGTTTTTGATCTTCGTATTCCCCAGAACCTTAGACTAGAAAACAGGTCCTCCCCCTAATATATTTCCTTAAATTTGAGCTAAATAGAATATTATTTTTAAATAGGAGTAATAATAATAAATAGGAGTAAAAATAAGGAAGTTGACCTTCAAGATATAGTTTGTCTAAAATAAGAACTCCCCCAGACATTCGTCTGTACCTGTGGCGGTGACTATGGAAACGAGGTATGACTCTTTCAAGTAGGGGTGCGGGTCACTGTTTTGGAGTGGTTTCAGCTTGGATTGGTGAGCGAAAGGGAATCTCTTTGTTCTATTGTGTTAGTCCTAGAGTAAAGTTACCCTCCCTAAAATGAGCCATTCTTGTTTCCATAGCACCAAATGGCCTCAGACTTTGTGACGGGAGGAGTTATTAGCTTAGACAAACTATAGAATCACCTGGATTTAATTAGCAAATTATGAACGGCGGATGATTCTTTGATAGAAAAAAAAACACTTCAATTTCAAACTCCGGTTTGTTATTTTGAATGGAGCTTCATTTGGGGCTTCATTGTCGAGCGTTGATTTTAAAATAAAGATAAATGCGACAGCTGCGTTTATTTTAAAATGTATGTGATTCCTCACCCCTAACTTGAAACCTCATTAAAATAGTCTACCTCGTGAAAATAGTCACCGCCACGGGTCCAGACGAATGGCTAGGGGATTTCTTACTTTAGACAAACTGCAGCATTTCATCTCACTCATTTGTTTTTTAAAATGGCTTGTATATTTTCGTTTAATTTTTTTCTTCACACCTGCATCATCAGGAAGGGGGAAACAAATTTGCAAGAGACTAGTAACTTATGAACCACAATAAAATTATTTTTTTTCACTTAATTTTTATCAACAATAAAAAGTACTTTTTAGCATATTCAAACAAAAGAAAACCGGGGAGTTTGAATAAAAAATTATAGTTAATTTATGGAATTAAAATGAAAAAATTAGCTTGTGGGCCAGGGCATTTTTTTTAAAAATAAAACACCAGAATTTTAAGAGTTAATTGAAAAGAAAAAAAATGGCTGAAAGAAAAAAAATTGAAAATGAGAACCGCTGATTGGCGATTAACTTCAATCAGGTTCTTACTCGCATCTCCAAAGATGCAGTGAACATTTCAGTGAAAATATAGCTTTTATTCCCTCGGCCGCCACACAGTGATGCAAAAAAAAGTGTCTAGTTCGGTGTGGAAAAGCGCGCAAGCGCAAATGATTGTTGTTATTGTAGATTCCAACCTGTATATTTCCCAGATTTCAATTTTAATTTTATAATTTACGATTATGATATAATAATAATAGTTTTTCTCTAGAAAATTAATATTTGGTTATTTTTGATACCTGTATACAATTAAAACCAGTTCAAGGTTTGTTTCCATTCTTCTTATCAAGTAAAATTGAAGTCATAAAAAAATACCGGGACTTGAAACATTCTTATTTGTGTGTATTTTTTAATGCAGTATGATTTATAATGAGTTCCTTTGACGTGTGCTTATAAATTGTTCCATTTCGTATCATTGCTTCGTACCATTGGTTACCTTATAATTTAAATGCCGGCAAGATCAAATTGAATTGTTTTGTTTTAGTGATTCAAATAGGCTTAGGGGCAGCTGTGACAAATTTATGTTAATATTTGCTAATTATTATAAATATTTTTTTAATCAACATAAAGGATTTATTACCTTAGTATACATATATGTATTAAGACTTTAAAAATCTATGCATAGATTTTATCCAATTTTTAAAAAATCAGAGAAAAAAAAGAGAAAGATCTGTGCAGCTTTATAGCATTATTTTTAAACATTATTTTGTTTATGATGAAACCTAATATTTAGAGCAAAATCTGCTCTAAATTGCTGTGTATGCTGCGGAATTATAAAAAATTCTGATATCTAAACGTTTGTATTTAAGTGAAAATTAATATATTCTACAAGCACACAAAGTTGAAAAACATGAAACTTTCAAAAAGTGTCCACACTTTTGGCCACCACTGTATAGTGAAGAAACTAATTGTGTTGAAGACTGGAGAGTCACCTTGCTGACGAGATTTGACTGTATGGTCATTGATTATTCAGTGCCATTGATTCGCTTTTTATGCAAATAAAACTTTTTCCTCAAATATTTTTTAAGATTAAAATATAAATAAAAAGTAATCCTGTGTTAAAATAAGTTTCAAATGCGTGATGTATGTGAGTGCATATAACATTTTGTATTGTGATGTCGGAAGAAACTTATTTTAGATTTTCACATCAATTTATTTGTAATAATTATCTATATGAAGTCAATTTATGAAATTAAACTTAATTATTAATATTAAAATAAGGTACTCACCCTCAGAATTTCTCACCCTTTCTTAAAAACTTAAGTGAGATTTCTAAAAACAAAAAAAAACACAAAAACTCTTGAAAAAAAAAATTATTTCTTTAACTAAAATACATTTTTAACGTCTTCTATTTTTTAAAGCATTGAATATTTTTGGTGCATCATCATAGAAGATTTTGCCTTTACAAGGTATTTGTCCATCTTACATTAGCACATAAAAAATTTTAACGTCTTACATAAAGAAACCTAACCTTCAGTAAACACGTGGTTGCAGAGAAATGTGTTCTGAAAGGGGTTCTGTGGTTGTGTTCTTTTGTTTTCGAAAAGGTTCTGAACAATACTGGTAAATAGGGAAGCTAGATAACGGGGCAGATGTTGAAAATAATGAAAGATCCAGGAAGAAAAGTGGCGTAATTCTAAGCTTTTTCCAAAATGCGAGAAATTTGCGAATTTTAAAATTTATTTATAGAATGCGCGAATTTCTCGCGGTAATAAATTTCTAATGCTATAAAAGAAAAAATATTTCGAGGTTCTCGCCCTGTAGTGAAAGCACTGTAGATGAAGAAATTTGTCTTTTGCTTGCTAATTAAATTATCACAAAATAAAATAAAATGTTTTGATTAGTGATACATTTAGTATATTTTTCAATTATTATTAATATATAAACTTGTGACTGTTATGCCCATAGATTTATTACATTTTTACAACTTCATTAAAAGTAATGATAATGAATAAATGTTTAATTTTTACCAAAATATGTATGTTTGATTTATATCCTATTTAGTTTTATTTTACTATAAATTTTTTTTTAAAGTCTGGAATTGAAGTGCATTAAAATTAAAAGATAAACTTAAAAAAAATTGATCTATAGACTTTTAGCTTTATTGGAAACACTAGGAATTTCACTCAGTAATTTTGCGACTTAGAGCGAAAAATTAATTTGAAACAGATACCAAAAGCATTGGTACTTGCCCATTCTCTACTATTGGGTAAAAATTATTAATATGGTCTATGCTATTTAGCATCTTATATTATGAAAAATGCTTTTATCATGATTTATTTGATTTCACGAAAGCAAGGGTGCTCATTCCTGTCAAGACAAATGGAGAAATCCCCCCCCCCAAAAAAAAATATAAGAAGGACTTCCTTCATTTAAGTTAATACAAAACTACACATTAATTATTTTTTATTAAACTCAATTATTTCACTGTTAACTGATAGTTACTTTGTGAGGTATAATTTTCAGAAGACCGAATTACAATTGTAAAAAGGAATCACATTAAAAAATACCAAGAAAGGAAAGAAATATACACATAAAGAGTGTCCTTGGAAGAAAAAAAAAGTCCCTTTTAGATTGCAATGTGAACTGATTCACAAAGTAGTAGTTGTGGCTTTAAAAATTACTAGAATTTAACAACAGATTTAATTCGCTGTTAATTAATAAGATTAATGTTAATAAATTTTAATTTATTTATATATTTTTAAGAGAACGCACAAGAATTAAGTTTACAGAAAGAAATGTTTTAGATTTTATATGTTTTGTGATAATATTATATTGAATGAGACAACTAATAGTCTTGACTGGGTTAATCTTGTGATAAATGAAATGTATTAACAAAAATAATAAAGTGTCTCAAAGCGGAACAAAAATACTAATTTTCTGTTGATCTTTTGAATAATACAGATGAATTTGATTGAAAAAATTAATATAACAAACCTTGAAATTTAACAAAATGAATAAGATAGAAACCAAGCTAATAACAGAAGAACAAAAAAATGATGAGAAAGTGACTGAAAAAAGTTTGTGAATTCATTGGGTTCCTAGTTATCTTGTAGCATTTTCACAAACTCTCAGAAAAGAGCATTGGGTGGTGTAAGTACTGTCTACAAGTTCCTGAAGGTTACCGAGCAAGGAGCTTGGATCAGTAAGTACATCGGCATAAAAAAAAAAAAAAACAAGTTGCATTGTTATCAGTTATTATCAGTTTGCATTTATAAAAAAATATATTTTTAAAATTTCTGTACATAATGACAATTAATTTGTGGAAAGGAAGGGAAAAAATGCCCATTCGCTTCAAAGAAAAGAAACAATTTTAAAAAAAACAGAATATGTTGAAATAATGAGTTATATATTTTTTTTTACATTTTCACAATGAAAAACAAATGCTTTTAGCGTATGTAAAATTTTGACTAATACATGACCCTTAAAAAACAAGTTGTTGTTTTTCTATGTATAAATTGCATACCATATAAAAGTTTAATTAAATATCCTGAGAAACTTGTTTAATTTTTGGCTAAAATTTACCAATTGTGATTATTTACATGTTATATTTTTCTTTCAGATGGCTGATGATACTACTATTCTTTCTGAAATCCAAAATAAATATGTGCCATTTATGAAAAAACTGATTGCGTTCTTAGAAAAGACTAATAAAAGTAATATTTCATTTTCTGAGAAATTATTTTGTTAAATAAAATTTTTCATTTTAAGGATTTTGTCTAGTATCTTTATTTAGTCTTAATGGTGGAATTTTTTAAACATTTATAAAATATGTTCTTTGATTAGTGTTATGTTACATGTTCTTTGGTGTTGGTTTTTTGATTATGGTACCTTAATAGTACCATAATACATATAGTTGGTACCTTAATCAATTCATGAATGATGAATTAATACTTGAATGATTGTACGCATTGTATTAAATTTCTAAATGTATTTTTTTAAATGTGTTAAAAAAATCTTAGTAGAGTGTTTTTTAAATTTTTAAGTTAGAGGGACGTTAATTTAGTTTTAAAGTACAGATGAAGATTGTATTGAATTAACAAAAATTTAACTGGGGACCATTAACTTATTTACATGTTGTGATATTTTTATGTGCAGGTTCCTTTTTTGCTTAACACTTCGCATTATCATAAGTGAAGACAATGTGAAAAACAGATTTTTGGTGTTAAAAAACGATTAATGAGTAAAAATTATTTATTTTCTTAAGTTACTCATGTTTTTTTTCTTATTGCAATTTCAGTTTTTTATTTATTTATTTCTATAAAATTTAAGTGCAAACTACAGTGCACTCCCGATTATCCGGGCTAATCACCGGGACTAGTCGCACGGACAATCGAAAAACACGGATAAACCGAAAACTCCTTTTATNGGACTAGTCGCACGGACAATCGAAAAACACGGATAAACCAAAAACTCCTTTTATTAAAGAAAAATTCAATTGCAGTTCAAAAAATATAAAAATTACTAACATTTGCCTGCATAACATCAAACTAGGAATTTTCGTTATTAAAAAATGTGTAATGCGTCTTCGCCATATATCGATACACATATTTTACGAACCGCAGTAATGTCGCCGTAATCAAATCCTCGCATATAATCTAATAAAGTTTCCACAGAGCAGCAGAATGAGAAATTGTATTTCATTCATTTACTACATCTTCTGTATCAGTTACTATCATCACTATTTGATTTAACAACATAACGATGTCTTCATCAGTCAAATACTGGAAGCCAGACTCACATGCATCACTTAGAAACCAATCTTCTAAATTTTCTTCATAAAGAATTTCGAAACCTTAAATTTCTTTTGCTTGTTCGAGAATGCTGTTGTCATATTTTTCTTGAACATCTGAAGAGGATTGTTCATCAAGCGGTATCATCTTTCTCCACGATCGTGATAACGTAGACCATTTTCCATATCATCCATAATGTAGACGATTTCTTCCATATATTGCAATCCAATAACGAATATTGCTTTCCAAAAATTTGGTAGTGTTATAACTTCATGAATCAAATTTTTTTAATCTTGAAAATGTTTCTCTTTATATTTATTGTGTGACTCCGGAATGAGCACGGATAATCGAGAGTGTACTGTAGTTTTTTTCCTCTCTCCTTTATTGACATAATTTTTCTAAAGGCATTGATTAACTTTTAAACTTATTAATGCAGTACATTTTTTACAGAAAATAAGCTATCTGAGATTTTCTGTGCTCGAGTAATTTTCGCATATCTGTTTTCTCCCGTGTCATTTAAGTTGCAATAGTCCCATTTTTATGATAATTGCTATTAATTTGAAATTTCAAAGTTTGTTTGAAAGCTTGAGATTTTTTTTAATAACTTTAGTAAAATTATATTTCTTGTCACGCAGCTCAAAATTGGAAACATAATAAATTATCTTCGTTGATTTTTACATTATATACTGTTTTAAATTGACTATTTTATTTTTTATGAAATCAGTTTATTTAAAACGCTAGTTTTACTAATTAAATTTAATTCAATTACATTGTGGTTTATATTTTATTTATTTTTAATTTTATTTCATAATGTTTATTATTATATGAGTATATATATTTTTTTGTATCAAATATCCCTTGCATTTTCATTAAAGATAAATTTTGCTCAAGTTTTGCCGTTTCTTCTTTTTTTATTCAAAAAGCAAAAACTTTACTGTTTTGTAAATCAATGGGGAAAAGTCAAAGAAAAAATTTCTCTATTTTGAGTGTGAACCTGATGATTGTTTTAAATAATTATGAAGAGTCAATTGATCAGGAAAACTTTTGCATTTTAGAAAATTGAGGTTGACAGGTATGCAGAGAGCTTCTATTCTCTTTAGCAACCTCATCACTTTAAAGTTTCTTGTTAATCTGAATGCCTATGACAGCATTTTTCTGAAAACTTGGTCTGCTCCTCAAGGGCTTAATTTTGCAATTCCATTTTAATTCTGCTGCTTTTATTGCAAGTCTTCAGTTCTTTCTCATAGCTCTCTATATTTCTGCTCTTTTGTTAAGCTATACAATATTGTAATTAAAAGTTTGTTAATACTGCATAATTTTTTATTTTTTAACTTTTTTTTAATTAACATTTTTGTTGTAATATATTACAATGTATTTAAATTATTCTATTATCTTATTAAGGAAAAAAGACTTATCTTTATAAAAAATAAAAAAACTTTATTTAAGTAATTGACATATATTAAGCTTTAAATAAAGGTTTAAAGAGAAATAATCATTTCTTAAAAGTATAAATTTTTTTTTTTGGATATGGGTCTCTGACCGAAATGAACTCTTAATTTTAAGATTTATATAAAAAAATTTTTTTTTGTTCAAATAATATTGTTCAGTATGAAATACATTAAGTATATAAATTGTGGAAAAAATATTACAATAAATCAATAAACCTCAATTTTTCTAGAAAGTAATTTACCCAGCACTAGTATTATGGAAAGCACTAAATAGTGATTTTTATTTGATGACAACTATTTATTCAACTAAAACTCAAATATTTCAATTTCATGAGCATTATATTTTTAAATAAAACATTATCATTAGATTTTGGGAAGATAAATTGGTTAACATTAGATTGTAGAATGAAAAGTTCATTTTAAATATCTTGTAATTTTTATCGCTATTTACTATATATTTTTATTATATTCTTTTTTTTATTGCAGCTACACCAGATATGCTTAATAAAATAAAAGCCATATATGCCATTTTTACTTCATCAGAAGAATCGTAAGTTAAATGAAATATTTTCAATCTCTCATGTAACAAGATAAGAACATGAATAGTTTGATTGTAATTATTTGATTGTAATTGTTTATCAAATTGTAATTGTTAATTTTAAATTTGATAAAAGTAAATTGAAAATTAAACTTGTGCTAAATGGAATAGATTTTTGCAAAATGCAATAGATTATACTTTAGATTGTATCATGGGAGATAATTAAATTATTTATGAACTAGTTGAATACCCATTCTTTTTCTAGGTTAAAAGCATGTTAAATTATTAATGACATTTATTATTAATGAATTATTAATATACTGTACACAATCTTGTATGATATTGAGAAACATACAAACACAAAATTTAAAATATTTTCATTTTCTTCCTAATTTATTGCGTTTGCACTTTTTGGTCATTTAACTGTATGAGACCAAGCAGGTTATTACAAAATTTTTTTTTAGGTCTTTCTCTTTTTAAAATGGATGTTAACTATACTCAAATTTATTTAAAAGATTAACTAATTCATCAAAAAAAAAATTGTGCTTTTGATTGCCACCAGTATTTGATAATCAATGTCAACCTCAATTAAGTAATTTAACTGGTGCTTTAGCGCCTTATTAAAATTAATTTTCTTTTTTATTTTATGGAAATATGTTTCAAAAATGTAAAAATAAAATCAGCTCACGTTTTCATTTAGCTTTTAAAATACTACTTTGGTGACAGTAATCTAACATGTCATCTTTGTTTAGTTTTCTTTGCTTGCCTAACATAAAAAATCAATGATAAATTATTATTAAACAGGATGCGTAGCATTTTTAAAAAATGCTTAAAGGTGCTTATTTTGGATTTACATTTTTTAAAAGCCCTTAAAGGTGCTTTTTTTTATTCAGGGTTTGTAAAAAGTGCTTATTTTTCTATCTTTTAAAAAGAGTTTTTTTTTTTTCTTTGCCGTCTAAATTACAACTTTTTCATTCTAAATTACTAAAAATTCATGATTTTTCAAAATTTTCTCAGCAATATTTATCAGAAGCTAGTTTTTTTATAAATGATTATGTAAAGTTTTTTTAAAAATGTTTTTGAATTTTATGTTTATAAATTAAGAACATTAAACGGCAGAAAAAAAGAATTTTTATCACTGCTATGATCCTAATTATGATTTTTTTTTCTTTTGGAAAGTGATTACAAATATTTTTTGAGTGCTTAAAATGTACTTTGTGCATATTTGCATATTTTTTTATATATGCATATTTTGTGCATATTTTTTGTTGAAAAATTGGATATTTTTTGCATTTGGTGCATATTTTTTGCATGCTTTTGGTGCATATTTTTGCATATTTTGGTGCACATTTTTTTGTTGAAAAATCTGGCTATGCATCCTGTTAAAGAACATTCAATACAAGCTCAGTGACTCTCATTTTTAGTTAAATGTGAACTGCTTGCTGGTGGTGAACATCAATGATGTTATCTTTCGAATATTTTTTTTAAAAACAAAAATCATCTGCAGTTTAAAGTGTCAATGCTTATTGCTCATCCTATAGTTTAAAAATGTTGCATAAACAGTTCACGAATTTTGTGAATCAGATTCAAAATATTTTAGATATATTGCAGATATTATATTTTTAATTTTTATTGTTGATTTAGCAAGCAGATAGAAGCTTTTAAGACTCATGAAAAGAAACTGGAGAAATGGTATAACAATGCTCAAAATAAAAAGGTAAACTCCACTTATTCTTTAATAGACGTTCTAACTAAACTACCTGATTTGGGTAATAAAAGCATGCATTTTCCGAAAAAATTTTAAATTATATGCATTTAATTTTGATTTATATGCCAGAAATGTCTTTGGTGTAAAAACTTCTATAATAAGAAAACAATCCAAAGACATAGATATATATAATATCTAAAAACCTGTTTTAATTTAGAAGTAAATAGTTTTTTTTTATTCAAGTACTTGATTATGAATTATTGTCTCCTTCCCACATCCATAGAGTAAGAGTTTCCAAAAGTATCTGCTAAATCATCTATTTATGTATGTATAACTATTTACAGTTATCCATTATGTATCCATGAATCTAAGGACTTTTTTCATCAGTTGGTCTGCATATTATGAAAATCTTATAAATAAATTGTGTGACTTTGAATCACGATGTTGGATTTTATAAACATGTGAATATGAATTATAATGTTGGATTTTTATATGAGGTCGATTCATAAATTGCACAACATTTAGTTTTTAAATTTGAATACAAATTGCAATGTGTAGCCTTTAAATTATGTAACTATAAAAATTGAAGTCTATTAAAATTGCTTGAATATGAATTCAATGTAGGACTTTCAAGAAAATGAATTGTGATGTGTGATTGTTAGAACTAGTGAATTTTTACTTTTGATTTTTTAATCATGGGAATATGAATTGCGATATATGATTTTTTAAATTGCATGGGAATTAATAGGAATCTTGTGAAAATGAAATGGAATGTATATGAATCGTGGAGTGCTATTTGTTTATGAAATGTGGTCAAAGTGGGGACTCTAAGATCACATCTGTGAGGCAAACAAAGATTAAATTGCAATTTGTAATTTTCAAACCAGCTGCTCTATATGCATAGCAGAAAATCCAGTTTAAGTATTATTCCTATTATTATGGAAATATATAAAATGGAATGTTAAATAAGCTCTTTGCATTGTAAATGTTTTATTTCGCATTACTGTGAAAATTACTACAGGAAAAATTCTTATTACTTCGCAACTCCACGGAAAATTTATTCTGTAGTCTGTGGTTTCAGAAAAGAGTTGTTTAATATTAGCATTCCCGTATATAATTTTTTACAGACTGTACATACTTAAGAACTTATTTTACAAACATATATTTATTTTAAAATTGGTTCTGTTACTCTAAATTTATTATTTTTTATTAGCTCAAGAATGAAGTTGAAAGCTCTGGTGTAAGTTTTCTTTTTTCTAATTCATTATGTTTTATTTTATTTTTCATAATAACTATTCCATGAACATTTACCACCCATACCATAAAACTCTCAATAGACAAGACAAATATATTGCTAGTTCAAAGAATACAACTAGATTCAAGCATTTATTAGAAAATGGAAGTTTCTTATTCCCTGTTTATTGTTATTAAAATAAGTTCTAGAAAAATTAAATTTGTTTGGCTTTATTCTCTCTGATATGAAAACTTTAAATTGTTTTAGTTAATATCAGTAAATTATGTTTCAATTTAGTGATAGTGAGTTGAATAGTTTAGTGATAGCGAGTTGATTACAAGTCAAGTAATTAAAATTTTTGATTTTTGCTCATTTTTATATGTATAGCTAAGTGAATTATTTAATTTAGATACAGTTTGTGTCAGTTTTAATTCACTTTTCATTCACAAATGCTTGAATGTAAACGAATGTACTTTTAAATTATTCTACAAATGCATATAATATTATTTTATGTATTAATTTGAGTGTATGTATATTATAACAGATGTATATTTATTTACGGAAGAGAAGCTTTTATTATATATATATATATATATACAGTTC